TGAACGTTGTACGTCGGCCTTTCGATTGCTGCTGTTGAGTATTGACGAACGATCGGATCGAGGCTGCTGCAGCTGGCTTCCGTCGTCGCTGGCCTACCGCTTGTTTAACAACTTAACCGTCCGCTGTCGCTATCTTCGCCCAACCTCAGTCTGTCGATCGATTTCGTTGGTAGATCGGTCGGTTGGTCGGTCGAGTGAGTCTCGAGTGTTCGTGTTCCGACGTCACGCATATCTTCTACTCAAACCGTGGTGTTACTTGTGACGTGACGTAATCACAGGGCAAACTCCTAATATTTCCATTCGCCCGTCGTTGACCCGTCATGGCTGATACAATGACCGAAGTGAGCAAGTCGCGGCGTTGGTCGCAGAGGTAGGCAGGTTTCGTTGTAAAATTCATTGACCTCTTATGGTTGTCATGAAATTTGAAAACTTCAAAGACCATCTGTTCCATTCATAATTTATTTTTACCACCAGCAGGCAGTTTTTGTATGTTTACCCCCTAAATGCATTGATATTAGTTTTTTAGGCACAGCGAAAATTTCGTCTCTTTTCGGAAGCCGAGCATGACCACCAAGCTGTATGGCAAGGACCTTTCCGAGTACGATGACCTCGACGTCGATGCGCTATTGGCGAAGCTGACTCCGCAAGAGCTCGAAGAGCTGAACAGCGAAGTTGATCCGGATGTAAGTCGCTTCACTCGTTTCATTTTAAAATCTTCCTTCTCCCGTATGATGTAGGATTTGTAGATGTATTCATTAGGATTTATTTTTTGTTAGGATATATTCATTAGGATTTTTTGAAGACAGATGTCGGGCATTTTGGAAGATTTCCGTTATTCGCAGTGATGCAGAAGTACTTTTAACTGGCTCTGACAAGAATTGTTCTTGTTTGACCGATTGCCTCATTAAGACACGGATTGTCGGATTTTAATGCTTTTACTTTGAATTTCTCATATCCACGAATCTTCTGCTGCTTTGTCAGTTTTATTTTGTGTACTGTGCAAAGGCTTTTGACTTCTTTAACTAGCGACACCTCTCAGACAATGTTTAACAAAGAATTTCCACGAGAAATCATCTAATTGCTGCAAGTACTATGCAGCAAAATGCTAGAACCCGCCTAGTCACTATCGGATCTTCTTACCGACTGATTCGCTGTTAACAAAGGGGCACGTCAGAGCTGCCTGTTGTTGCCCCAACGATACCCTATGAAGAAGTAGTGCATTCCGCGAATAATTTGTTGAACTTTGTCACAGACATGGTTAAAATGCATGTTTCGCTCGTCTAATTCTAAATACTGACTTGACAAAAAGTTTTGTTATTTTCTGGTAACTTCTTTACGAAGGAAATCATGGTCACATGTTCAGATTCTCAGATAATGACAACTGTTGTTGTTGGTTATAACGTGTTTAACATTCGATGTGTTCCTGACAGGATGACGAGGACTTTTTACAAAGGAACCCTTGATAATTTGGAAGCATATCTTTAGTTTCAGTTATATACAAATATATCTGTTCGTTTTCGTTGGTCACAAGGACGCGTATGGGAAAAGTTCGAGACCAGATGTTGTCCATTGCTTTCATATCATAGGAACGGCAATAAAACTGAATCATTTGGCAATACCAGTTAATACGACAGTGTATCGTGCGATGCCACAACTCATTGCGGAAAAACTAGTTTCTGAAATTCGATTTGTTTTG